AGCGGGCGAGAGCGTAAGCGGGCGAGACGTAGGCGGGCGAGAGCGCTAAGCGGGCGAGAGCGTAAGCGGCGCAGACCGTAAGCGGCGCGCAGAGCGTGTGCGGCGAGAGCGTAAAGCGGCGACGAGCGTAAGCGGGGCGAGGCGTAAGCGGCGAGGCGTAAGCGGGGCGAGAAGCGTAAGCGGGCGAAGCGTAAAGCGGGCGAAGCGTAAGCGGCGAGAGCGTAAGCGGCGAGAGCGTAAGCGGGCGAGTGCTTAGGGCGGGCGAGGTGGCGTGCTGGCAAAAGAGCGCGTCGAGAGGCGGGTGCGAACGCGTTGAAGAAGGCGATGGCAGAGCGAGCGGGCGAGAGCGCGGGCGGGCGTTGGGCGCGGGGACGCCAAGCCAGCGAGGGGGCGTGCAAGCGGTTAATCCCCGGAGAGCGGCCGGCGCGGATGCAGGTGCGGTTGCGCGCCAAAGGCTTCCGCGGAGAACCCCGCAGTGGGGGGGGGGAGGATGAAGGGAAAGACGCAGATAGGGTGAGAGGTTGGGAGGGGGCTTCGTGCCTGACGTGATGCCGCAAGCTCGCTGCTTCGAGTCGCCAACCCCCGCCGCTGCCGCAGCTGAGGGGTCGACGTCCAAGTTGCCAACAGAGGGATTTTTATTTATTTCTCCATATCCCAGAGGCTATTGGAATTACTTCAACAATAGGTCTCGAATTTTGTGTAGCAAAAATCTGTGCTTTTCTTTTGAGCTGTACCGTTTGCGTGAGCTGTATCCGAGCACAAGTCAGGATTTAGGTCTGGCGCTGTTCCAATGACGGTTAGATTAATGACTTATGTAAAAGCAAGTACACGTAAAATTGAACCCAAAAATCGAGATGTCGAAATGGATGTACGTATGTGTCACGCATAACCCAGCCAGCTTTTAAACAGAAACTTGGTAAATACGTTGTAAGTTACCGAGAGAATTAAAATAGATATATGAATTTTGGGGGTTACTTTTCGCGAAAATCAAGTGACTTTTTTAAAGTTTTCGGACATCAAAGTCTTCTGATTTCGGTAGTAACGTTATAACATAAAGCATTTGAATTTCATGTATAGAAACATTTAACTTCGTGTTTACAGTGAATAGGGAATATATTATTACTAAATTTGTAAACATCCCTCATTTCATGAGTGTTTGAAAATAAATGTTGAACGAGATAAAACAATTTTTGAGGGGTTTCCGATTTTCCGTATAGTGAATATGAATAACTTTTGCAACTTTTCTACACGGCTTTCTGTAGTTCGATGTCGTGGTAAGAGTTCCGCTTATATTTATTTTTGTATCTGCTCTACTCCTCCAATATTAAACCAAGATATTTCTTTCTCAATGCAATTGATTCAATAACTGAATAACGTTATGCTAAATGATTCAAACCATAAACGAAAAATGTATCAATGGCGCTCTCTGGCCAGACGGGTATTGTTTTTTTATTTTATCAACGCATTTAAGCAATGTTTGCCTTGTGCTGATCTTTGTAAGCAGAAAAGCTAACCAAATGTTATTGTTGTTACGTTCATAAATTTGAAGAAAATGATAACTCACAGAAATTATCGATTAAATTATAAAAAAGGGAAATTAATCGAGTCTGAATATACATTTTACACATATCTTATTTCAGCGTGCAACATTTCTGCTCGAAATTCTAAGGAATGTCCCAACATTCGAAAACATTTTTAACAAAATTCATTCTTATGTATCGGATGTTTTCTGGATAACTTATTTCAATTGTAAATCTCTTGTAAAATATTTTTGGATATCAAATGATTTTTTTTATCTTCTCCTTTACGGCGTTGGCTCGTAGACCTTCCGTTTCTTCAAGCAATATTTCCGTTATCTTTAGATGATTTTATTTTTGCAGTGGTTCTGAATACTTGAAAGGGCAGTATCTCGTTCAGAAATCGTTGAATGTGAGAAAACTTGAAATCCGAGTGTGATACAGAAATATTAAGAACGTGTTTTACGTGCTGATATTGATATTCACTGCCAAATTCAAATTAAGTTATTTAACTCTCAAAAGAGCGCCAGCCTGGTTGAGTTTGCATCAAAAGTCTTCGATAAGGTCTATTTCTATTCAGGAGGGCTCACAGCCAACGCCAAGAACTAAGAATATGGGTATCTAACGCACATTTGAATGTACACAATTGACGACTGTCTCGGGAATATTCTCTTCGCTGTAATATTCCATTTGCATGTACACCATGGAGAACGATTTCAAGTTCCGAATTTCGGTATTTTCATTTTGTGATTGTGTTACTTCAAAAAGTCACGTATGTTGTCAATATTCCGTGTCCTGTTTTGTAGTCCCTTTTCGTACATTCTATCGGAGAATGAAGTTACCTTAAGAAACTGATGCAATGTCTTATTTTCAACAAAATGGTGAGAAACAACTCTTGTTTCAATGTGCCTCCCTATTGATTTTTTTAATAAATGAAATATCGAGCTGTAATATCATATATTACATTATTATGTCATTTTAATATGAAACTTTAATAGCAGTTTAAAGCAACTTTAATATGAAAAAAACAACAAAGAAATAAACTTGAATACAACCAAGTATATTTTCAACATCATTAATTATCGGGGATTGTGAATCTTTTAGAGTAAGACAGAACAAAGATAAGTGACTTACAATCTTTCAAGAAGGGTATTTTTCCGCTTTTTGTAAAGTATTCAGATTTTAAAAAACGATAGCATTAAATAGTAGGATACATAAACGAATATGATGACTTAAATGAAGATACATTCACAGATAAAACAAGAACGAACATATATTAAAAACAAGATATCTTGAAACCGACGTTGATGTATTTTGGAAATTACTGTACTTTCTTCCAATGAAGATGGACGTACAAGTTCAAATACATAATTTACTGTTAATCGACACACGCAGCTGAAAATCCATTCGCTCGCTCCATTATCATCTCACACTCAGACTCTTAACCGTTTACGGCGTTATTTCCATTAGCGTTATCACTAACACAGTTCTCGTCGTTGCAGGTGCTTCAACCACCCCTTCAGGGGGCTTCGGCATTACGAACTTTTTATCGCCGCCACCAACATTACCATCGAGACCCACCACTCCCCATCACCACTACCCTCCAACCATACCCACCACCATCACCGTCGGGAACTACAGCACTTCCAGAAGTGTCCTTCCACGCCCTGCGCAATCGTCACCAATATCACCACCCGAACCATCACCGCTGCCGTCACCACCACCGACACTATCACCATTCTCGTCACCATCACCTCGGTAAGTATCTGCACTACCACAAGTATCCCTCCACGACCGACGCAATCACCACCATTATCACTACCGCCACCCTCCCCGCTGCCGTCACCACCGTCTCCGCCGACGCGGCGCCATCTGGCGCTGCTGCAAATCAGGTTTTCATTTATTTATTCGGCTAACGCGGCGCGGGGTTCGCGCGCATCAACTATTCAGTAGCAATCCTCCCTTATTCTCTTTGCGCCCGCGACCCCCCTCCCCCGTCCCCCGCCCTTTCCCTTGGCCCTCCGGGATGAGCGGCTCGTCGAGGGATGATCCGCGTCGCTCTGGTGACGCCCGCCCCCGCCCCCTCCGGCGGTCTGCCTCTTCCTACGCCCGCTGACACTTCTGTAGCTCTTTTCCCCCTGAGCGACCGGCAGATCCGATCGAACAAAGAAGCACTTTGAATTAATTATATCGGAGACGCCGCGTGGGGTATTGACCTGAGAGGCCGTCTTCAGGGAACCGAGCACCGCGCGCGTGACTTTTGCGGAATTTGTAGTTCACAGGTCGCGCTGCTGTGTTGAAACCGCTGTGGTTAATGCAGCACCTCGCATACGTGACCCTATGAGGTCCTGTTAGTTGAAGAGTAAATGCAATTTTTAGATCTGTGGACAACGAGATAGAGAAATGTGGCTGAGAAAATATTTTAAATTGCTCTTTCAGTAGATAGCAGAGAGAATCGTCTAGATCTCAAGCGTAGAAGTTTCCGATTTCTGGATGAGAATAATACAATTTTCTTAAAATCGTAGTGTTATAGCTTTGAGTTACCATAGCCGTGAATCTAACATCGTAAGACACAACCTGTATTTTTAATACATTTGAGTAGTGCTAGTTTTTATTTAGCTTTCTACGGCCAAAAGCAATCGGAAGCTTCCAAAATGAATGAAAAATATATTGCGTTTCGTATGTTCCTCAATAAGAGACAAAAAGAAGGCAAACATCATGATTCAAAAAAATTAGGAAGGGGCTAGATACTGTTTTTATCGCCGAAAAGAAAAAGAGATATACTAATATAAAGTGACAGAATGACGAAAAGTTCAAACGTCCAAAAAGCAACGAGGGAAGATGCTATTTTATGTATTAAACGAATTTGGCCACAGAGTTTACTTCAGTCAGTTTATAAAAACAACAACAGATTTAGAATCACATAACACAAAATATATTATGCGTGGATTATGATTTGCAGAGCGACATCTCGGGGAAGTGTATTTTCCTCCATCTTCAGGCAACACTGGGTAAATGAGAAATCTCTTAATATTGTATAAATGATATAAAGAAAGTACTGAAATTAATAAAAATTAAAAATTATTATAAAGAAACATATCATTCGAAATACATTTCTTGTTTTTATAAACTAAGTAAACCATGTGTCCAAATCCATTTAATATGTCGGATAGTGATACAACAGACTCAATTCTGTTTAAGACACTATTTTCTAGGCTGCATTATGCATATTCTTAGATGGACTTAAAATGCAAATAATAAAGAAAGCTTTGAAAGAGCGATATTCTAATAGGTTTGAAACAACTTTCAGCGCAAAGCGTATTACACGACGAGTGGAGAAGAGTTCGAAATCTTCGCTCGTAGTTCGTAAAAAGTCGCTCAAAATAATTTTAAATTCTCTTAATTGAGTATGGAAGAATAATTGTCTAGTTTGAGCACAGATTCCAAAAAATGATTCTAGTTTATGAATCAGTTGTCAAATGTCTACCGATTCACCGTTGAAATGAAGCCCGTTAATTGGCCCTCAACAACTGCTGAAATTGGCATGGCTCTCAATTGTAAATTCACCTATGAATAAAAGAAAAGTTTGATTTCCAGTTAAAAATAGAATTGAGTGCAAGTAGAATAATTAATATACATACTTTCAATGCTTGTTTACGACCAGTAGAATCCAACAGCGACGATGCTTTGCGCTGCATATAGTTACCTGCAAAAGAAAAAAATATATATAAGAATAAATATTTTTAGCAACTTTAAAAAAAATCATGAAACAGAAGATTGGGTAACATGGATCACTTTCTAATATTAATTTGTTGTTAATAATGTGCATCAGAGAACATATTCACAAGATTTACGTTTTGATGTTATCTGCCAACAGAATAAAGGTGCCGAAAACACTGACATTATAAATGTTGTTTATTAAACGTAAGTAATTGACAAGTCGTAGTTGCTTAGTAAAATAAAACAATTTCTACTTGCATTTGACGTATATATGTTATTATATATTGTCTCGTAATAAAAGATGTGAAAGTAAGATAGCATGTCGAAACGTTCATAAATACACACCGAATACAAATGAGATATTACGAGAAAGAAAATATCAAAAGGTCAAAACACAGAAAAAAAAATCTTTGTAACCGTTCGAAAGTACTATGTTTTTCCCATTCTAATGTTCACTGTGATGAATTTAAATTATTCGAATTAATTACATTAAAATCGTTTGCATATCATACGTTATTCACGTTTACCAGAAACATTTCATATATTTTCGTATTAAAAAATGCTTTTCAATGACATTTACAAGGTTATATTTTACTTTCTGGTTTCTTTCCATTTCAAGGCTAAAATATACTCACTAAGTAGCTGTGTGAGTCACAAGGCTTTCACAAGAAGAACAAGCGCGTTATCAAACTATGCATATCTTTCCTTGGGGGCATCGCCCTCCACACAAACTGTACATAAATCAGCGTGGTTTGCTTGAAGTCAGAACTTCTGGATTTCTTTTATCGGGAAGTTGTTGCAAGTGAATAACATACCTTGGGCTTATTCCAACCAAAGCGAACTAGGTAGGTGGAACTTTCACGTGAACGATGGATCAGAAATAGAATTTTAAATGATAAGAATTAATTTTCTATTTTTCAAACTTTCCTATTTTCTTCAAATTTGATCAATCCTTTGCTAAGTCTAACCATCCCCAATAATCTATTTTTGACTTGAACATAAGAGTAGGTTTATTAAATTAACTAAAGACTTAATTGGACGTCTACTAATGTGTAGGCTCGCCTCGTCAAATAAGACATTAACTAATCATTCAACGAGTAGCCTATCATTTTCAATACCACAACAAATTTGAAAGGAATCGTATAATTTTAACCAAATAAAGGAACATATTAGAAACATTTAAATGACAATCATGTACAAACCGCTTTTCTTACGATTCCATAACAATTCATCAATAATTCCATAACAATTCAACATGTAAAAAGCCAAAGAAATCGACTATGATTACAACATTCATCGGATACTATTACCTGCAATATAACGTAATAAATTTCGAGTACGAAACTTCAAGAGGATATCCATCTGCCGCTTCAGAAATCACAGGTTTCCGTCCCTCCAGGTAGTGCGGCATCGCGGTTCATTCGCCTTCCGAGCAGCAGGAACGGCGGAAGTGCAGGTTTTCGTCTCCCAAAGGATGGCGGCCAGCGCTTCCCCGGCAGCGGAAGCTCGAGGAACGAGTCCCCTAGACACGAACGGCCGGCGGAGGGGCCGGGGGGGGGGGCTCCCTCTCAGCCTACAGAGCCACTTGGATGAGGACAGGCACACGCCACGCCACGCCGGGGCAGGTAGGATAGGATTAAGGAGAGTCACGCGTTGATAAAATACACATAAATATATTTGAAATAGCGTTAACTGGAAATTGTGTGTTCGTTTTATTACAGAATCTTGCTTTATCTCAAGTACATGTTTGAAAGTTTTGAGTTGAAAGATTCGATTATGTGAATAGTATTTCTTGCATGTGTGTGTGACAGAGGGTGTATTTGTGTGAGAATGTCTGTGAGTGTATGTATGTGTGAGAAAGTGGGTGTGTTTTTCGTTCACTTACACAGCGTATGGCCTGTTCGTCAATCAGATAGCGATGAATCTATAAATATAAGACGGTTTTGCAACACATTGAGATTAACAATTTTTCGAGAAGACAATTCTTTCACTAATGAAATAATTATAATAATTATATCATTGAATTGCTATCGACCTTAGTCTTCTTCACATAAATATTGCCCGAATCGCTAAATTAATTTGAAGAACAAATACATATTTGGTTTCTAAACACTTAAGACTCCAAAAGTAAGCCAAATGAGAGTAAATAAAAAGTGCAAGAAAGACTGAGAGTAATTATTCACAAGGATTAAAGTAGTAATATGAAGAACTCTAAAGTAGCCCTCTTCAAAATAAAATTTAGTGGCGACACTAATACCTATAGCTGTCCTGACAATATATTAATTAATCATATTCAAAATTAACAGTATTATAACGGTTGTTTGAACTTAACCGTTTAGGCAATAATTTTGTTTTTATATTTTTTTGAAACCAAAACATTCTATTCATCTGATTTATGCCTTTATCAGAAGTTTAAAAAAAAGGAATTGTAAACTTCTTAATAGTTACCCAAGTAACGTGTAATTGTGCCTACTAACATTGAGGATGAGAGAAAAATCCTACAAACGTGTTTGTTCAAATCTGATTTAATTATGTTTATGCTAACGTTTTTCTGGAGGAGACCCGTTTAGAGACGCAGAATGGATCGATCAAAGACCAGACTGAGACAAGCGGAGCAGATAGAGGGGGAGGGGTAAGTGGGCGTGGAGGGTATGAGGGGAACGGGGGCGGGCGGGGGGAGAAAAAAACAATAAAAAAAATCTGGACTGAAAAGGCTGTTGTACACTGGGACCGAAGGCAGCGCCTACGATCTAGGGGGTGACGGTTGGTGTGCAGACAACGTCTCTGAACATAGGGGACGGTGACGTGAGAGAGAAGGTTGAAATTTGGACAACGGCGAGAACGAGCCTGGGTCGGGGAATACGGGCGCATGGCGGTGAACGCCCGTTCGGAACAGCGGGTCCGGGGGAACGGGTCTGGGACGGGGTCGGGAAACGGGATCGGGCAACGGGTCAAGGAACGGGTCGGGTCGTGCGGTCGGAAACGGTCGGGAACGGGTCGAGAACGGGTGTGGAACGGGTCGGACGGGCCGCAACCGCGTCGGGACGCGGGATTGGACCGAGTCGGGACGCGAGTCGGGTCGCGGGTCGGGCTCGCAGGTCGGGACGCGGGTCGCGGACCACGGGTTCGGGAACCGCCGGTCAGGAGACGGGTCGGACGCGGTCCGGACGCGCTGTCGGGTTCCCCGCTGGGTCGGGTCGCAGCGTCGGGACCACGGGTCCGGGAACCCGCGTAGCGAGACGGGGTCGGCGACGCGGTCATGTCCGCGAACGAGACAGGCCGGGAGCAGATCGGGTCGCCAGATTGAGACGGTCGCAAATCGAGTCGCAGTTCGGGACACGAATCAAGCATATGGAGCGGCTAATGAGAAGTGTTTATTTATAACAAGAAACGGACGAGGGAGACGCGAACCGAGACCCTGTAGCAAGGAGGAAAGCGGTCGTCGAGCGAGTCGCAGTTTCGCAGTACGCGACGCGGTGCCAGGCGGAGAGCAAGGGAGGGGCTAAGTACGAGTGGGGCGGAGAGAGAGAGAAAGTCGCGGGGAAGCACTTGAGATAGGGATGGTGGGGCGGGCGGAG